CGGGTTTGGCAGAAGCCGAGTCCGTGTAAGACCGTTTATTACTGACAAGTAGTCCCGCAGAGACCGTTTGTGGTAGTGATAGGGAAGGGAGGATTTTGGAAAAAAAATCAAATTTTTAAAAATTGTCGAAAAACCAAAACATGCTGGAAAATGTCTAAAAGGCGCACAAAACAAACATTTTTCGAAATATTTGAAAATCTTTTTCATGTTGAAATTTTTCAATTTTTTCTAATTTTGTCCGCTTTTTGTACAACAGCATTTTTTGATTTTTCGGAAATTTTTGAAAATTCTCCGCACCCGATCCCTGCCAGAAGCGGTCTATGCCGAACATGGTCTCTACTGTACCCGTTTGCTGCCTCATCCGACCTGTACCGCACCCTATCTCTGCCGACCCATTCTTTGCCTGACTCGATCTCTGCCGGACCCAGTAGTTGTCGGTTCGGTGGTCTGGTGGAACGACTTCAGAATTTGAAAAGCTTCAAAAATTTAAAAGAGTTCACAAATGTGACAAAATCGTAATTAAAAATTTGTTTGAATTTTTCAATTTTTGGTTTTATGTGCTTTTTGACTATTTTCCAGCATTATTTTGATTTTTCGATTTTTTTTTTCAAAATTCTCCGCACCCCGTCACTGCTAGACCTGGTTTCTACCAAACGCTGTCTCTGCCGGACTCGGTCATCGCCGGAACCGGTGTCTGCCGGACACGGTGTGTTCCGGACCCGTTCTCTGCCTTACCCAGCCTCTGTCTGACCCTGTCTGCCGGAAACGCTGACAGGCGTAACAGGTAGAACGACTTTCAAAATTCAATTTCTTTAAAAAATTTATATGCGATTGTAAATGTCATAAAATACGAAAAAACGGAATATTTTCGAATTTTTTTTGAAGTTGAAATTTTCAAAGATTGTCAAAATGTAAAAGATTTTTAGTCTTCTGTCCAACGGGTACCGGGTGGCCTTTCTTGGGGGTAAACGCGGCCGGAGCGTAACGGTGATCACTCACCCCTATTTAGTACAGAGGTTAAGAATGTGTAGGGAGCTATCTCTCTCTCTGCGCAAGCGCCTACATGGTGATAAGCGGGACAGGTTTACTTTTTTTCCATTAAATAGGGGAAGAAATATTTAAAATAATAATACAGTTATCACGAGCCCTGTATTTAACGTCATGCACTGATTAGTGTTAATATTAGACACTACTGAAAAATGCTTCCGTGCAAATGTAAATTATTGTGATTTTTTCTGAACAAAATGGCATTTTTGTACATTGTAGTGTAGATCTCCAATAACTTTTTTTTAAATTGTTAAGTCGTTTGGAAGAATGCATTAAATTGTAACAAACATATAGTGCAAAACTTATCAAGTATGAAAGGAAAATCTAACATACTGAATACACATCGTCTTAAATATTATCCGGAAAGGCCCTCCTTGGCACAGTGATTTGGAGAAATTATTACCAACCAACCAACACTTGTAATCTCAAAAGCGAGAATGTGTTTGTGTGAAGTCTCCCGTTAGCGTTCTGCATACAGCTGCACGGCACTTCGATGTGACGCAGGGGCGCCATGTTTTGTGCGGCGTTCTGTGCTACTTTGTCATTATGCGGCGGCAATGGCTAGTGGTGTAACTCGTGTAATACATCGCTGTGAGGAAGCGCAGGTATCCAGTGAGTTAAGTAAGTGACAATAATTCAGATTCTGTAAAATCAATACACTATTTACTTTCGGAAATCAATATTATTAAAGCTGATTTATAGCCTCTTCACATATCAATACGTATCGTGTCAGAATTCATACTGTAATTTCATAGTTCAACATTCTGCCGTGATTGGCGCGCGAGTTTCAGCTATTGAATACATTACGGAAATACATTAAATCCGCGAAACGTCTTAAGAGGACTCATCTTAAAAGAAGTGGCAGGTAAAAAAAACGGCGTGCTACGTGAAAGTAACTCAGTCATCTTACGATTTACTACTTATGCCAAATATGGAAGTCTGCCGCCCGCAGCCATATTCAGAAGTCGCAAGTGTTATTCGTAATTCGAGTAACTCACCTTAGCACGTTAGTAACAGGCAGATTCACGAGGATGTGGGGATTCCATTCTTCGCCAACCACAGAGCACGAACTGAGAGCTTCTATTCAGAATTAGGTGATGCAGGGACACCCTTATTTCGGCAACTTGGAAGGCACTTGTGCGTACTAAGGGCTCCCTGACGTCACCCACGGGTAACAGAGGAGAACTGGAGCTCAGGAGGCTGCTCTCAAAAAGGCGACCAAGTCAACTACTCACAAAACCTGACTGAAGTATCAGTGCTTTTCTCAGTTGTTCGGCAAGTGTCAGGGTACAGTTGGAAAGTGGCACGGCCCGCTTATTCCCAATCATGTAAGCCTTCAGACAAAATTATTCCCTCCCCTCCAAAGACGCTGAAACTTTCAGCCGAAGCGACCCCTTCTGGGTTTAACTCCCAGACGTCCATCCTCCTACAAGTAGCAATGGGCCCTAGTATGAACATATCAAAGTCTTCAACCCAGAAAATATTCCGTTACCGTCGGTTTGATTTTGGGGCACAGGTTACCAATTTCAGCGATGCTTTTCATTCGCCGGAATGGTTAACATAGCAAGGGACTACGTCCTGCTCCCGCACAAGACGTCCTCGGCTTTCTGGCTGGTTGGTTAGAATCCGAACTAGCGGACAAGAGCAGAGCTAATGAAAAGCAACGGACGTTACATGAAGTTCGTTGTGCTTTCTTTTGCATATA